GTAGTAACACTGTCCAGGGATGATGAATAGAGGAGTGGACACAGTGTCCCACTGAGTTTTACTTGGTGGTGGTACTTTGGTTGTTTTGTTTTTTTCTTATGTGGGTATAAGGTAGTTATTTTGACTGATTTACTTGATATCATGTAATATAGTAGTGCATGAGACAGATAATCTGTGGAAATATTCTGTGAATATAGCTTGTGTTCTTGACTTTTGGTTTAGATCTTAAATTATAATCTAAACTAATAGTAATAATTTAATTTAGTTTCTTCACAGAAATGAATGAAATACTATGATATATATGCCTACTGTGGTATTTTTCTTTTAAAAAAAACACCCCTTAAAATCAACAAGGCCTTGCGAACCACCGAGAAGCTTTGGCGACCCCTAGTAGTGGTCCTGATTGGCAGTTTGGTACCACTGACATATTCAACTGTCTCTCTTAGGGACAAACTTAAGCCATAGCAGCCTATGCTGCTTATTGGGAGCAGTAAGAGCTTAATACATGTCCAGTGTCAGAATTATAGTGCAACTGTTGCGGGGAGATGGGGGTATAATGTATTTCTATTTCTACAGGTTCTCCTTGAGTAGGCGATCTACAGTGTCATAGTGCTACTGACCAAGCTGCCATATTTGATAGGCTGGGAGTGAGAGCAGGCTGCAGAGAGAACATAAGACCCCTTTTTTTGAATTATTCTTAAGTCTAAATAAATGTGAAAACAGCTACTCAGCTGTCGCTGCCACCCAAGAAGACTCAAAATTGTTGTTAAATGCAAACTGCTTTGGCCAGAGACATGGTATTAAAAGTAAAATAGTAGAGGCTGCATAGGTGAGACAGAGGTAAAGTTCCTGTCCACCAGTGCAAGATGTGTTAGACTGTGTAGGTTCACAACTCAAATGGTGTCTGCACAAAAACAGACATGTGCATACACACTCCTTTCAGTCAGTTATAAAGCTGTGTGTACACATGGTTGTGTTTTCAAGATCTCAGTCATTGTGGAAGTGTGTGAGTTTGATTTCCACTCCCATACTATAGTTGGACATTAATCAGCTGTTTGCATGGTAATCCTCTGTTTGCTGGCCCCACCAACCTGCAGGTCTCTCAATAAAAAGAATTACTGATTATGCTGCATTGATGAGATTCTACAACAAAACAGCTGTCAGTACTCACAGCTGTGGTTATTTATACTTGCATTATGAATTAATCGCATGCACATCATCATCAAACATTCAAATAACAAATAGACTGCATCAGTGCACCAGTATTAGCATTTTATGTTAATGAAGCATCAGAAAATGTACATGCCAGGGCTCTCATATTCATATTTTTTCAATCACAACAGTATTGCTCATAAATGCTTTGAAAATAAATTGACAATTTATAGAAATAACAATATGCTGTTAAAAAAAGTAAAAGAAGGTGCAAAGTGAAGTAGTGCTTTAAGAGAAAATATAATACATTTAGATATACTATCTCACAGTCTAATGTAGTCACTCAATGCCCCACCCACAGCACCTTCTAATTGGTTATATGTCACGATTGATAAACGAAAGAACAAAACTAAAGATTGACTAACAGGCAAGGGGGAGGCAGCAGATATTGCATCACAATATTGTGATTTGTTTCTCCCAGTTACACCACTGAAAATGCCAGAAGTCACAGCCTAACCCAATCATTGTCCCACAGTAAAACACAGCACGTATCTGTCTTGTCAGTCTTTTCATTACAATTCTGCATCAACATTTAGGGAACCGTGGTGCTATCTAGCGAACCAGTCAGTTTTGAGTGGACCCATTGTAATCAAGGATGCATCCTCAACAGGGGGCGCTGCACAATGCACAACGACCTGTAGAATATGACACTGCGGCTTTGGTTCCCAAGAAAAACCTGCTGCTTTTATGTCAGACAGCTAAGCCCAGTAACAAGCTTCTTGTCACCGTTAACATGTTACACACACTGATCTTGTCGGCGTCAGCAGTGCTGTTGTCAACCACAGTCGTTGACAGCATTGTAATGAAAGCCTTGTAGGCCTGTTTAAAGTTTAGATGTGCCATGGACTGATGTCAGAATACGTCACTGGAAATTAGTAGTCAACTGGGCTTCTGCAACCCTGCAAAGAACACTAAGGGGTACAGTAGGCATTGTACAAATACCAAATGGCTCATACGTGGAAGTAAGGTTTAGAATGAAATTCTGTTTTCACAATTGTCATTTTTAATCACTTTTTGCAAAAGAAAATCTGTTTATTATGATCAGAAAAACAGCTTGTGAATGTGGTTTGATACCATCATGCATTGCTAACCAGCATTGCTTTTATGCCTACAAAGGGATGTGTCATATATATAGTGAGATTGTGTACTCCATCAGATACTTACAATACTTACAGTAGCAGTTTGCTTGGAATGTTTTTTTCCTTACCTTGCAAAAACCTGATAATGTAATGTATGATTAGCAAACTACCAACCACTATTACTTTTCCAGCAGTTTAACTACATGGCTCATCTGTTGAGCCTAGATCCGGTGTCCGGTTCACCACTTTTCCTTCCTTGGACCACTTTTGATAGGTATTGACCTCTGCAGACCGGGAACACCCCACAAGAGCTGCAGGTTTGGAGATGCTCTGACCCAGTCGTCTAGCCATCACAATGTGGCCCTCGTCAAAGTCGATCAAATCCTCACGCTGCCCATTTTTCCTGCTTCTAACATCAACTTTGAGGACAAAACGTTCACTTGCTGCTGCTCAGTGTTATTTACTTCACCTGTCAGTGCTCACAATGTTATGGCTGTATGGGTGTATATCACCACTTTCATCACGATAGAGTAAATAGATTCTTTAGACAATACTGTATTTTATGATATTACTAAATCTGCCATGATACGATTTATATATATGCCCAATGTGGTAGATGAATGTTTTAGGAGGGGTAGTAAATGTATACAGTTTGGTTAGGGGGTTGTGTTTTTATGGTAGGGGGTGACTGGTAAGCATTTGGTCACAGTCACAGGGTCAGATCACAGGACCTCAGATGTCAACCCTTCATGTTAAATTTACATTATTAATGTAAATAGGACAACAGATGTGTTTGTGCTCAATTGATGTACTTAGAGGTATATAAGGGAGAGCATTCTGGAAGTTGGGGGAGAACATCTATGCTGTGGTCTTTTCTCCATGCTGAATGAGTAAAGGAATTTGATTTGATCGACAGCTGTGGTGCAGAGGCAGAGCGGGTCAGCCCCTAATCGGAAGGTTTTTGGTTCAATCCCCGGCTCCTGGAAGTATCCTTGAGCAAGATTATGAACCCCAAATTGCTCCTGATACATACATCGGTGTGTGAATGTGTATGAATGAGTTAGTTTCTGTTCGACTGAGTGAATGTGTGTGAAAGGGTGAATGCGCTTTGAGTGGTTGGAAGACTAGAAAGGCTCTATACAGTACAGGTCCATTTACCATTCATCACACTGGGTTCGTAATTCTTCAGAGAACTCGCAACTCTCAATATTATGGAAGAATTTCCCCTACACCATTAACACAATCAGTTACATTTGTATGAACTCACAAAAAGCAACTCAAACTCAAATATCATTTGAAAATTGTATGGCTAAAAAAAATTATTTATTTTATTTCACAATAGTAAATGGCATGCTTTGTCTATATTTCTACACAAAATAAAGATGACGATATTTCACTATTGTACGTATTGATGTATTAGATCATTGAACGTTGATATCCATATATGACTCCAGATCAATGTATCGTTACACACCTAGCGTCCAGTTTACATGTTATTATTCCTCTTTCAAATTAAACAAAAACTAACAGTTAAACATCATGTAACTCGATCATAAAATCTGGCAACACATTTACAGTTGATCAGATAATGTAGAAGGAAAGCAAGGTGCTGTGAACAGTAATCAGCACCACAGCAACCTGGACACCTCAACCACAGACTAATGAGGCTGTAATGTTAGTCCAAGTTTAAATAGAAACCGTATCAAACATGGAACAGATAAACCAGGTTTATACTGACCCAGGAATATTATGATCTCCGTTAATTCAAATAATAAAATTCAAATGGATAAATACATCACATATTTCACACATAAGTGTCATGCACAACTTTAGAGATAGAGAAGGCAAAAAAAATGCAAACAAATGCAGGTTACAGTATTTAAGGCAGCTACAAGGAACTCTTATTTAATGTTGATTCTGGAGGTCCCAGTGGACAAAAGCGGTAGTGTTTCTAGGGACAGACATTAAAAATAACTATAAAGAAACAGCCAATCTTCTCATTGATGGTCTTGTTTGTTTATGTAGGTCATATAGAGTTGAAGCATCAGTATTAAACTGAGACTGTTTCATAACCAGGTAAAAACTCCTTGTAGTACATTTAAGTATTCCACCCATAATTTGTTTTTAGATTTTCCTGACACTGCACCAATGGTCATTAATCAATAAAACATGTTGAAGTGAGCAATTGTACCGTAATGTGTAATGTATTTTCTAAAAATGGTATATTTCAGGAACTGGTATCTAAGTCAAAGCAATTGTATCAGCATTTTTGAATAACAGCCAGCCCTATTGCAGGTTGTGGACTTCTCAGGCCACTGCTCTTACACTATGTTTTGTTGATACCCTAAATGGATTTTTTTAACCCTGACCAAGTAGTTTCAGTTGCATAAACTTAACCGTACCTAAATCAAATGGGGTTATGGATGAGGCTCTACAGAGGCTTTGTTTATATAGGTGGATTGTGATTTTTCAAGTCATATCCATTTGGATGGCTGCCAGAAGAACTGTGGAGGACATATCCTCATATTTCTTTTATCGTTGAGTGAACTTGACAAGATGAAGCTCTGGTTATGCAAGAGTAAAATGACTGGATGAAGCTCACAGCATCTACTGAGAACAAATATTTCACAGATGTATAGTAACTTCTGAAGTAACTGTGTTTCTTTGTCTGTGTGTGTTTGTATGTGTGCACATTGTGTCTCTTCCCAGACCACTGGAGTTAATGTGAGAGCAGTTATACAGAGATGTCAATCCCTTCCAGTTAGCGACAACTCTACAATGATGGGGATTTAAAAGAGGTGAGTGAGCATGGACCCAGACCTCACTTTCAAACTCTTACACTATATTTTATTTCACTGTCACTGCCTTCTTCATGTTTTCATTGAATTAGTTCAAAATACATATTTGACTATCAAAAAAACTGAAAAAAACACATCTAGATTTTCTTATTACTTCCTTTCAGACATGTTTGATAGGAGAACAGTACATGTTAAACAGCACATGGAAAATCAGTCTTATGCAAATCAGTGAAAACCTCTTTTCCATGGAGACTAGTCTCCATTTCTGATAAATCAGATGCTAGTAGCATCTACGTTAACCTCTTTAGCAGCCGTCATTGTTGTTTAATGAACAGTGTCCTGTTGCTGCATCACACCTAGTGCCCACCACCGTAGCTGCCAGTACTTCCTTAAAGGACGCTGGTTGGTCTGATATACCAACATGCTATAAATCAATACCATGCCCTCTCATAAAGAAATAAGCTGACTTCTCACTTGATTTATGAGCTCAGTAAGCAGTTTTCTAGTAAGATTAAGGTCTCAATCTCTAGTTTTAGTCTTTTTCCATATAGCATGATTTTCATTTAATAAATGATGGTCCCATTTAGAGTCAAATAGGCCATAAAGCAGGGTATGCTTTAGGGCCTGGCTGCCTTCTGATTGACAAGTCATTCTCCTCCTATGGACGAGTCGTAACTGCGCAGCCAATGAGCACAGCTCAACTCTCCTCCACTGGCTTCGAAAAAACTTCATGGGGAAGGCCATAATGCCAAACTCGAGGCTTCAAAACGGTACAAACCATTCAGTGACACTTTCTTAGATTTGTCACCACTCCATATGAGCCAGTGCTGTGGATTCAAGACCTAAGTCAATGGGTAACCCCTTAAATTATCTGAGACACATAACTTGCTCTAATATGAATATTTTATTGATGCATAAATGCTGTAAAAATAACCCTGAGACAAGCACTCTAAACAGTCTATCATAGTTTGTAAGGAAAATGACAAGAGAAGATAGGCGCTAAAGAAATGATTCACGCTTTTTTCACAGTCAGCTGGTCGTTTCAGTCCCCACCTCCTTCACACATCCCACCACTGAGCTGTTCCTTTCTATCTGTCTGTATGTTGGAGAGAGAGAGTGAGGGAGAGGGGGAGAGAGAGAGAGAGAGAGAGAGAGAGAAAGCCCACGCGCTTCTCTTCTCAACCCAGTTCTAAAGGCTGAGTTGAATCATAACAGTCAGTGGGCGAAAAGAAAGAAGAAAAAAAATCCTTTCCACGCAGATTCTGACGTACATCTCTCGTCGATTTGGGGTCGTATGGATGGAGAGGGAGTTGTTGATAGCCTCCAGCAGTGCTTAGTCTCACCCTCTCTCTCTATGGGATTTTAATGGCTGTTTCGACTCTTCATAAAATCTATCCAGCTGGATGAAATCCTCACAACCTTCTTCAGTGCAGAAGTAGAGCTCAGTCAGAAATAATCAGTCAACGAATTGACTGTCAATAGCAAATTGCTAGCTTTACTTAGATTTGTCAGTAAAGGCTCTTCTCTGGGAGTGAGCTCTCAAAGAACCAAAGCAGCAAGATGGGCAAACTAATCCCCCAGCATTAACAGAGATAGCTGTAAACATACAGTATATTATCACTGAGCCAAAGCAGTCACTTGACATTTAATGATAACAGCATGGCATTCTGCAAATCTCTCTTACATGTTCTGCTACTGCTTTGTCTGATAACCTCTCTACATGTGACAAGAACAGTTGTTCCTGTGAACAGGTGTGAAGAACTTTTAAAGCAGTGTCTCCTGTGATCTGTTGTTTACTTTGAACTGGGCTGCTGCTTAATTTTCAGCTTGTCAGTTGTTAGGGAAAGAGTTCTTACCCACCAACTGACAATGAAATTTAATTCTGGGCAAGCAGGGAAAATCCTCCTTATCCCAATTAGGGGTGTTTTTGTCCGTGCAGTCCCAATTTGTGATATCAGTCCTGGTTTTATGCTCCTGCAGGTTCATTAATTGCAGCTAAGAGAAACCAGATCCTGAGTAGATTGACCAATATGGAATGGCGATTGAACCTGAACACTTTTGAGAGCCAGTGATTGATACTTTTTAAGAGAAATGTTAGCATAATGCAGCTGTAACCCACCTCCTCTCCTTCATGTGAGCTGGATCAAACAAGTTAAAGCACTAGGCAGACATGGCTTCTACCTGGATTCGCCTCACCTTGGCCTGCCTTCTTTATGCAAAGCACCGGCATTCACAATGTTGTGCACACTCCATGTTCAGACCTTGTGAGAGACACAGTGATATAAATAACTGAGAGCAGGTGAAGAGGATTCAGTCAGCAGCAACAGTCCTCAACTAGAGCAGGTTACAATGGCTTTAGAGGCAGTGATTCTGTTCTCCATTCAGTCTGACACAAGTCACACGCAAACAGTGATGGGAATAACGGCGTTATAAATAACGGCGTTACTAACGGCGTTACTTTTTTCAGTAATGAGTAATCTAATTGATTACTCTTCCCATCTTAACGCTGTTACCGTTACTGCCAAAAAATGCGGCACGTTACTATAATTGAAGCTGTTTTTTTCATCAGACCAACTAGATCTCTGAGCTGAGAGGCAAAGACTTTTATTTACTGTTCTCCCTTGGTTAGTGGGATGTGCACGAGACAAGAGCATAAATGCTGACGATTGGCTGAGGTTGAGTAAAATTTCATGGTAAGCCAATCAGAGGTAGAGTTGGGCGGGTGTTCGAAAGCACGCATAGTCGGACACACAACGAACAACACAAGCGAGTCAGTCAACGAGAGACAGGTATGGCCAGTTGTGTTGCATCTTATTACATTTGCACTAAAAAGAGTGTATATATTGTTTGAATACATTTTTGGTACATTGCTTAAAGAGCATCATTTAATTTAGATTTATTTGTTGGCTGGCTGCAGCCTCTTGAAGTGAGATTGTCAATGGCCAGAGAAAGAGATTTATTTTTATGGAGATGTATTTTTTATTTCTTATGTATTACCTGTTTATATTTGGATTCCTTAGTTTTGCTATACATTGTACTTTTCAGTTAGATTGAAAGCACCTCATATTGTTACACTGTTCTACTTTTTAGAGGAAGAAAATACTTGAAGTACAGTATATCTACCAATTGTCTGAAGTTCTTTGTTTTATTTGCACTACAAAGAGTGTATATATTTGTTATTTATTTTTGGTATAGTGCTTAACAAGCATCATTTAATTTTGCCCAGTTGTGGCCTGTTGAGGGGCAATAAATATCAAAAGTTCCAGAACATCTATTGTGTTATTTGTATGGATCCACTATATAAACATAATATCTACATACATGGCATTTAATTGGAGGCTAGTCTCACTTTGTCCCACAGCAACATTAAAATAGTTTAGATTTGTGTACATTGTTTCTGTTAATAATGGATTGTATTAAGTGTCCATTTCATTATAATATTCAGATTTATCATAAATAATTGAACATGCACATGTATTTTAAATTCCCGTTAAAGAGGGGTGGAGGTGGGGTCACATTTGAGCATTTAAAAATTTACTTGAAAGTAACGCAATAGTTACTTTCTGAAGTAACTAGTTACTTTTATAGTTTTTAACTGAGTAACTAATTTAGTTTTTTTTTCTTTTTGGAAGAAGTAACTAGTAACTGTAACTAATTACTTTTTAAAAGTAACTTGCCAAACACTGCACGCAAAGGATCAATAATTAATGCAGTATTTATTTGTCAAACAATCAGAATAAAGTTCCACTTGCTCTTCATCATAAGCACACTTAAAGGGGTTTACAGTAAAAGGGAAAGACAAATGCTTACTGAGATCCACTGAAAACTAGGCTTTGATGATTGTTTCTGTTTTTATTTCATCCAATCTTCACGATATGCAAACTGATCGCCACAGCCCCACTAGGCATGGGACCATATGAAAAGTTCATGCCACGATTATCTTGGCCAGAATAATTGCGATACACGATATCACGATAATCAGAAAATATACTTTACTAAATACTACTTTAAAAAGGCACTTACCCTACATTTTGTTAAGAACAGTATTTTGACTTAATATCTCAAAATAATGACTTTGTGTGGTAAGTCATTATTTTGAGATACTAATTAAAATTAAAGCTGCAAGCAGCGATGAACGGGCCCTCGCACTCGACGTGTGTCGGGGTGTGCTGCGGCCGCGCCACGTGCCAACAGGGTGTGCTGCGGCCGCGTCACATGCCGTCGCAACACGTGCGGACCACAGGGTGTTTCTGGGGGGGGCGTCTGTGGGACCACAATACCTTAGCCTTCGCCATGACTGAATTTTGTGCAAAGTTTCATGAGTTTTTGGGCATGTTATGCCCCCCAAAAAGTGTTAACAGAAAAGCTGATTTTCGTCGTGACGCCATGGCAACATGGTTCCATACAAATTAAGATTCATAAGATGTCATCATCATCGTCCTAAGGGACCGCTGATAGAAATTCAGCTGGTTCTGGTCAATCTGCTGGAAGATATACATAAAAGTATAAAAAGGACATTTCCTTTCACCACTAGGTCACGCTCTCCCTATTAGTGAATATGATCACATAGATGCGTTCAGGGCGGGACTCTTATCAGACAATAGAAGTTTCGTTGCAGTCGGATCATGTACGCAGAAGTTATGACAAATCCCTCTTTCATGGCGAAGGTTCAAAATTGGACGCCACGCTATTTTCACACATACTGTCTAACTTTTTTTTTGTGGGGAATACAACGGAAATTGAGCCTTCAGCCATGGTGAAAGGCTTATATTTTTGGAATGACTGGAAAGATATGGCTCTCCCTTGTCTGTTAAAATTGTCTTGTTAAAAATAAATCAGGAAATCAATATAGGGCTGTATGCAAGAGAACTAAATGTTAAAATGGACTGTATAGTGCCTTCCCAGTCTTCCGACCATTCAAAGCACTTTTACACTAAATGCCACATTCGCCCATTCACACAGCGATGGCAAAGCCCATCGAACAGAAACTAACTTATTCA